TTGGGGCCTGTATTCTCTTTGAACACCTCGTCTTTTTTTGCAGGGATATCAGTGAGATATTTCACTGTTGCTTTTTGATGGTTTATCAGTTGCTGATAATGGAGAGGCATAAAACCTTTATCTTCACAAGCAGACATACCACTGTCCCCAAAGCTGCCTCAGGACCATGTATTCCCAACAGGTGTTGGCGAGTCTAATTCCATATGGTTCCATCAAAACTTGCATGTGCTGCACCCTTGTCTCCTGGGCAGGAGAGACCTGGTTTGATGGGGGCAGCAGTGAGAATCTTCTCTTACAATTTTACATGTCTGACGGTTGAGATAATTTCCCATGGGCGACCTTTGCCCCCACCCACTTCAAGCCTCATTTCTCCCACACACGGTGGTGTCAGGCCAGCAGGACAAGCTCATGTGTGTCTCTGCACCTCTGCATCATCATGCTAGGGGCATTTCTGGAATGAGTCCTACTTCAGAACAGCCAGCAGTAACAACCACATGGAATGTCCCTGCAAACCAGTAACATACACAAACATTCTACCAAACCCAAATCATGAAATCTGCCCCGAACTCAGTTTAATCATTGCTCCCTGAAACACATTCTAAAAATGCCTGTGGCCATTTTTAATGCCATTCAACATAAGGGGACATGTGTCTGATTGAAATCAGGGGGGAAAGTGGCCGAGGCACGATTATGGTTCAAATGCTTCACTTCTGCAAGACAGAATACAAGACCGAGTGCACACCTTGTCAAGCACAGGCTCTGAGGCTTGGGGCTGGGGACCTCCACCCTCACTCTCTCTCTTTTTTTTCTGTGAAGTCCCTTTTCCGTTACTGACTGTGAAGAGACTGGGCTGGCTGTGGCAGAGTAGCTCACCCTCTGGGTTTGTCTGGGCCCCCTTAGCCTGTGCTTCTGGTTCCTGCGTGTTTCTTATTAAATTATAGCCAGAGGGTTGTGAAACTCGTGGCGATGTTCTTGCCTGGCATCCATATTCGTGGTGTTATATACGTTCTGCTTCACTGCAGTAGAAGAAATGGTCACCTGGTTGATCTGCTGTTAGTGGATAACTCGGGGCAGCCACTGGGGCCTGCTATCTTTGGGGCCATCCTCCAGCCCCCTGCAATCATGGTTTGAGAAATGACATCTTCCTAGCTCTGCTGTTCCCTCTACATTTGGGGGCTGGATTTATGTGGTTTCCTCCCGGACAGACAGACTAAAGCCTAAAAGGTGTTGGTTTAACAGAAGCTTCAAAGGGTGGCAAATTAATTAGTTCCAGATCTTTTTCAGAGTAGTCGTCATGGGCTCAGGGACCCCTGTGAGTGAATGGGTTTCAGTCTGCCAGTCACTGTGCTTTACCACGTGTAGGTTGACATCCTGTGTGGGCTTCTTGTCCTTTTGACACTACACTATTGGTCCTCAAAAAATTGGGGGGTGAGACGGTAGGAGCTTGGAGTGCTTAGTAAGAAATGTCTCCGGATCCTGCTCTTCCCCAGGGCTGGAAGTGGGAGCCCATTTGGGGATCCCACGTCCTCTGAGCCTCACAGAAACGTGCCCTCAGTAAGGAAGATTTCTACCTACACTGTTTGGAAATAAGTGCACACACACACACACACATTCGCATACACACAGACATGTGGACACACACACGTGCAGCTAGCATGCCCGGGCCCCTACTCAGCCCCTCGCAGGTGTGCACTTGGAGTTTATACCGTGCTGGTTCCCTGCGGTTCTCCTGCCCTGACAGATACACACAGGCGGCTTAGGCAGCGGGCGTTTACTGTCTCACAGTCTAAGATGAAGGTGCCGCCCGGGCTCAGGTTTCTCCTGAGGCCTCTGTCCCTGGCTGGCAGACGGCACTTTTTCCCTGTGTCTGTACATGGTTGTCCTTGGGGGGGCGGTGTGTGTCCTTAGCTCCTCCTCTGGCGGGTCGGGTTACCACCCACCCTGGTGACCTCATTTTCATTTAGTCCCCTCCATGAATGCCCTGTCTTCAAACACAGTCACACTTCTAGCAAATGGGGGCCAGGCCTCTGACGCATTTCTTTTGGGGACACGATGCAGTCCCGAGGTTCCCCCAGCCCTCGTGGGGACTTGGGGCACCTCAGGCTTTTGGGGCTGATTTTCATTTCTCTTCAGATCTATGCAGAGTTGCCTCCCAGTTGACTTCAGAACAGGGCAGACAGCTCAGTCCATAGCGCGCACTGGTAGGAATCACATCAAAAAACTCTCAAGTCCGGTTCCAAAATAAGACTTGCTTTGGTGGAAAATGATGACAGCTCTCCCTCCTCGGATGTTTGCCGTGGGTCGGTGGCCTTGCTGGGTGGCCATGGGTTGCCCCTGAGCTCTTCCCCATCACAGGCTGCAATCTTGAGGCAGGCACTGGGTTGGGTGTTAGCACCTTTTCTGCCCAACCCAAGGCCACTCCCCTGGTCCCCTCTCCCTGTCACCTCCCCTGCCTCTCCCTCATATCCCCTCACCACCACCCTCTTCCCAAAGTGCCCATAATGGAATTGGGGACATCAGGCAGTAGGGTCAGCCTCAGGGGGACGCCCACAGACAAGGTGGAGGGGCCTTCCCAGGCTTGGCTTTTTGAGCAGACGTTTAGGGGATGTCTGACGGATGAGGGTACAGGGAGGGGCATGGATTGGATGCCTGGTAACTTCCAGAAGACGTCAGCAGGGGTCAGACTCGGCTCAGAAATACTGAGGGCCGGCCCAGCAGGAGGCTCTGTTATTACCCAAACCTTACACCCAGTATGATAAACTTCCACAAGGCATTTCCACCCCTGCCTTCTCCAGCACAGGCCCAGGACTTATTCTGAAAGCTAAGAATGGCAGAAGGGCTGGGGGGAGGGGTCCTCTGCTGTGGAGTCAGGGCCTAGTCAGGGCCTAGTCAGGGCCTAGTCAGAGTCAGGGCTATAAAATCTAAGGAAAATGGTACTTCTTGCACACTAGGCCTTGTGATCTGAGATTCAAACCTAATTTGCTCCCCTTGAGAAGGCTGTCAGCAGCCCAGCAGAACTCGAGGGTCATTAACTGCCCTGGCTTTTTCCGGGGGCAGGACTCACCCCTGGAAAGCTGGACTCAGAGACCTGTTACAGACCAAATGAGTAAGTGGCCACTGTTCAAACTCCATTCGCTGAGTTTGTAAAGTTTTATTAATCACCATGACTATTAAGTGTGGCCCCAGCGTGTCCCGGACAGAACCCAAACGGAGGACGTACACCTGCCTCACATCCAATGATGAGGAGGGTCAAGCAGTGCAGGTGCCCAGAGGCACCGCCCCCACCTATCCCTGAGGCCCCCTTATCTTCTTATCAGCACCTAATGGGGCACATCTGGGGTCCTGCCCTAGAGATCTTGTTGTGTGGGGTGTACACAGGCAGGCCTGCGAATGGGCGGCACTCCTGCTCTCTGCTGCTGTGTTAGCTGCAGACTTGGTTAGGTTTGGGCACAGAAAGACTATGTCACTAGCAAGTTAACAGGAACAAGCAAATGTGCCTCTCTCAGTAGACAGTCTTAGATGGGCAGGTTGAGGAGGCTTCGTCAGTGTGGCCCCCTCACACGTTCTGTGTGGCGTGTTCCGTGTGGCGTGTTCTGCGTGGTGTGTTTTGGATGGTGTATGTGTGCTGTTTTGACATGGGCTGGTTCTAACTTGGCTCAGGGTATTCACGGTCCTCACTTCACTTGCCTTGGCTCCGTGGCCTTGCTGGCTGGCCCAGGGCTGTCCCTGAGCTCTTCCCCATCACAGGCTGCAGCCTTGGGTCAGGCACTGGCCGGGGTGTTAGCATCTTTGTTGTCCAATCCAAAGCTGCTGCTCTGGTCCCCTCTTTCTGCTCCCTCCCCTGACTCTTCCTCCTGCCCCCTTACCACCATCCTTTTCCCAAAGTGCCCATAATGGAGTTGGGGACATCAGGCAGCAGGGTCTAATGTGGTGACCCCTTTGTGTTCTGCTCCAAGCTTATGGGGGTGATGGCAGGGGGACTGGAGGAGCAGGGCAGGTCTGTCCCGCCCACCTCTGTGCTTGCTCTGTAAATGGCCAGTCACAGATGGACCATCTTCCCAAACCACAATAGTGAAATGACATCTGAACTGGGACAGGGGTGGGAAAGGGGAAAGCTGGGCTGCTTTTCACTACACTGTGGAGGGATCTTGCTGCCTGTGCCAGGCATGGCCTGCATGGGCTGTGGAAACAGGTATGACCATGGGGTGGGGGTGGAGACACACTGGGGGAACCCCATCCACTACTGGACGGCCTTCGTAAAGTCAGAGCCACTACTGTGTTCACACGGTCACAGGGGGACGTCAGTTTGCTGGTGGCCCTTTTTCTGGTTCTTCTCCCATTTGCAGAGTCCCCTTCCTGGTCGTCTTAATCAGAAGTGAGAAAATGGGGTGCCACAGAAGACCCTCATGGGGGTGCGTCAGACCCTCATGTCTGTGCCAGCACCTTCCATGCTTGGAAGGACAGGCCAAGGACTGACACCAACAGGCGTCCACAGCCTCATCCTGGGAGCCTATGAATGTGGGACCCTACAGGGCAGAAAGGACTTCGGGTGCAGGGACAATGGAGCAGAGGTCACCGAGCTTTGGAGGACACTCCCTGCTGTCCTGGAGGACTGGGGTGGGGGCATGAGATGAGGGACAGGCAGTCTCTGAAAGCTAAAAAAGGAAAGGAAGGGATGTAGCTGGCCACCGGACCCTACCCTCCGGAACTGCAGGACAGCACGTGTGACTCACCACCAAGTGTGTGGTCACTTGCACCAGTGCCAGGACACCAATACACGGGGTGCTGACACCCACGACAAGTCCCAGTTTTCATCCGGCAAGTGGCTTTCTCGTACCATTTTCTTGACTTTTTGGCCTGTGTGGACACAGCTACAGAGTGATTCAAATAGGAAAAGGAAAAACAGCTGGGAACCCGACCAGCTGGGGCAAGCAGGACGAAGTGGCCACATCCTGTGTGTGGTGAGTCTTTAATTAGTGTCCCAGCTTGTCATCTCCCTCCAAGCCCTGGCTCCACCCGCCTGTGTCAGTGTGGACACTCCCACCTGCTGGGGGTAGTGAGGCCCCCCAGCCCAGCAAACAGGTGCACGGCTTCCCTGATATAAAAGTGCATTTCGTGCTTCTATGAGTCGTGTAGGTGAGACTAAGACACGAAGACACCTCTGGCACGATGCATGTCACAGCCTCTGCACAGCGTCCTCGCCTGTCCACTGTACAGTCATGCGGCCAATGGCTCTCAGTCACTCAGGATCCAGTTCCTCCAGTTAAATGCCGCGTTCGACCCGTGCGTCAGGGTCTTCACGGGCGGGTTCACCAGCTCCCATTTCCCTTCCTCTTTATTTTCTTCACAAAAGCACATACCCAGAGAAGGGATCTGAAACAGAGTGTTCAATCACTTACTGATGTTTTATAAAAAGTCTTTGGTTTCAGACCAGCACTAAAGCCTACTGACCCAACAGCTCTGCAGCAGCCAGGGCCGCGCCCATGCCCTCTGCATCTAACCTGCTCACTCCTTTCCCAACTGTAGTTTTATTGCTACAGCGGCAAGGAATTACAATCTGAGCTGACTTTTAACAATTTTTCGTCTTGTTCTTTGCATTGTACAGCAATAAATGACTAGTAATGGTGACCAATGACCAGTAATGTCCGTCAGCCCTGGCCCAAGGCCCTTTGCATGAGAGCAGGTAGGCTCGGCTCTTGGGGCATGCAGGTGCTGATAAGGGAGTGTACTAATCCCGTGTCTTTGGGGTGCATGACTTTGTGGCCCAAAGAGATAAGAGCAGCTCCATACCTTTCTCACTAACTGGGCAAAATCCCCACAGTCCCGGGGTGGCAGCCCAAGGAGTGGCCGAGTACAGGAGTCCAGCGCTGAGCCGTGGCTCACGACTAGGATGACGCCAGCTATAAAAAAAATACCTCAAGGTCAGATCAGGCACACAGGGTGTCTGTTTTAGACTTGGGGTCCCCAAAGTTGTTGGGGCAGAGTTACCTTGTAGAGCCCTAAGGCCTGAGGGACCTGGGGGCAGGGAGGAGGTGTGGCAGGCAGTAGCCGGGTGCAAGCAGCTATCTGCCAACCTCAGGGATGGGGTAAAAAGTGGCCAGAGCCATCAGCTTTTGTGGCTGGCTGCCTAGACACACATCAGGACTATGGCTAATCAGTGTGGTGGCTGCCCCTAGTCCTGACCCAGATTACCAGCTGGTTATCGCAAGGAGCCTACCACGACCCCTTTGGATGAGAACTTCCCAAGAGCTTCCAGAGTGCACAGGTTGAGTGTGGGGACACCTCATGCCCCAGCCAGCTTGGGGGAAGTGTGGAAGGAAGGGAGACAGCACCTCTGTGTAGCTTCATCCACACAGAGTAAGAGCTGGGAAACCCCGTGGTGAGCTGGGGATGGCCTGGGCCAGGCCAGCCACTCTGCCCAGAAGCTGGTGGCTCTGTCACTGTCTGTTGTTAGCCTCCTTTGTTTCCTGGGAAGCTGACTGGAGTCACATGGACACTAGTGGTTTGGGCTGACCCTGGGTCCTGGGTCCACCTGCACCCAGCCCTGCAGTGGGGCCCTGGGGTCTGACTCATGATGAAGCATGAGCTTAAGCACCCAAACACTGTGGTCGCAGGCACCATATCACATTTAGTTGCTGAAGAAGGGAGGCAGGGGTGGTGGGGACATTAGCAGCTTCACAGAGTCCACCAATTTCCATCCCAGGGGTGAGACCGTTATACCCGAGAATGGCGAGGACTTACTGTCCTGTGGGCAGGCGCTGATGATCCGGCCCACGCTCGCGCTGCTCCTTTCCACGTACTCGGCATAGCTCTCGGCTGGCCTGAGGCGGCACAGGGGGACTGCAGGCCTGGAGGGGACAGAGAGGAGGCTGCTGTGCTGGGCAGATGGCAGGGTTTAGAATCACATGGCTGTGGTTAGCAGGGAAGGAGAATGTTCTTCCAAGATGCCTCTGCCTCAAGGCAGGGCCCAGCATCAACAGGGAGGCTCCAATTTTGTGTCCCAAAGTGGCAAAGGCTGTGCACTTCCTTACTGCACGTCGGGAAGACTCTACAGTGGCAGAGTCGGACACCAGACGACAGCAACCATGGTTCTCTCCTCAGCCACAGTCTCGCCAGTCTCCGAGCCCTCCTCTTTACCAGGCCACCCCAAGGGCTTCAGTGTCCATCCTTGCAGGGTCAGTTTTAGCTAGAAACCCCTACCCTCGATATCTGAGCGGGTTCCTCCTGCTCTGCCGCCCCCAGGCCTCCCTTCAGCAAGACTCCTGGGAGGTCATTTAGCAAGAACTATCCCATCCTCTTCATAATGGACCCCAATCTCTCTCCCACTGCAAAGCCCCACTGCAGGGGTCCCCTTGAATAAAGTCTTCCTTACCATCTTTAATAACATCATGAAAAATCCTTTTCTGGCAAGGCCCGGATGAGCCCTGCATCAGAGGGCCGGGGGAGGGAGCACCTGCGGGAGGGAGGGTCTACCTGTACTCAGTGTCCACGTTGAAACTCGCCTCTTTCAGCTCTTCCAGGCTCATGAATGTCGGGATGGCTTTGCTGGCCTCCCATTTTGTCCATTCAAAGATTCCAGGCTCTACTCTTATCTTCATTTGTTTCTCCAGTTTGAGTTCTGTATTCAACAGAAAACAGGTGTTTCTCATCTTTACCAACCACTTTGGCTTCATGCAGAGTCTCCTCCTGTGTCTTAGCATCTTACACGGGGATCTAAATAACGTCTTTCAAATTCTGCTACTTCTTTTCTTGGCAAACACTGTTTTCTGACTAAGCACAGTCACGCTGTTTCTGAGACTGAAAGTGCCAGGCAGTTGGAAGGTCTCCAAGCAGTGGGGACCCTGTGTCTGACAGGAGGGGACAGAGTCCCGGGATGGGGTCAGGCCCACCCTGACCCTCCAGCACAGTTCTACAGCAGAAAAGGCCACAGCACAGCCGCTGACCTAGGTGGACAGCCCACCAGGGAGGTCGTGGCTAATGACAGGGAATGTCAGCCTCAGGAAGGACATTCTGGAGAAACACACCAGATTGGGTGGAAGGGGACCTTCTTCTGGAACATTCTGGCTCCTCACAATTCACCCTTCCTGAACATTTTATAGCTTGACTAAAAGCAGACCTACAAAGCCAGGCCATTTCACTCAGAGCAAAAAAAATCAAAAGACCGTAATGTTTCATTTGAAATGAAGAAAATGTTATTAATCTCAAAATGCTGGACATCAAATCAATTCCCCAAATGTATTTTGAAAAGTCCATGAGAAGAGCTCATTTGTCAAGCATGTTTAGAAAAGAGTGGGTTAGACGGAGTTCATGTGGCCTTGGTTCCCCCGGCCTGCCGGCCGTGCGCGCACTGCTATTGCGTATGGAGCAGATGTGAGATGAGAGCTTCCGTGGGTGTGGACCCAGGTGTCTTTCCAGGACACCCACCGGCCGCTGTTCTGTGGCCCATCTGGACATTGGCTGATGCTGGATATCAAAGGTGCAGCATGTGGGCACTTCCGCTGTCAGCCTGAAGGCAGGTGGACCGTGCCTGGGGCCTTGTGAGGGGGCCTGGGGTCCGTGTTTTCCTGCATTATCACAGGATTTATGATTGTGTGTCCTTTAAACAGGCGTAGTGATACTGTCTGCATGCAGAGTCAAAGCCAGTGCGAGCCCAGGTGAGAGATGCTGGCACTGCTGCTGTCAGAGGACCCTGCTGAGAACGTTGTTTTACACGCCGGGGTCCAAATAATAGAAGTCAGAAAAACATCCACAACCTATTGGAATTAGGAAAAGTGGTCTGGAAAGCTGGTCAAAAGAATATTCTGAACTT